GATTGAGCGCAATTTAATGTTTCTGCAAGCTGTTTTTGCGTTTGACATCGGTCTTCATCCATCAATGCTTGCAATTCTTCATCTTCGAATGCTCTTGGTCGTCCAGAACGCTCTTAGTCCTCCACATCAAAATCATCACTTTTAAAGCATCGAAACCATTCTCTGCATGTTTTATCGGAAGGAGAACAATCACCATAAATTTCTACAAGCATTCGATGGGCTTCAGCTGCAGTTTTCTTCCATTTGAAGCAAAAGATTAATACTTCGCGCAAATGACGATTATTTGGATCAAATTTCGACATTTTCGATGCAATAAGAAGCAATGTTATTGATGCCAACGTGTACCTTTATATACTGAATTTTATTGAAAGATGGCGAAGCTAAAAAATTAAGCTTGGTTTAGACATTAGAGTTACCGACAGTTCTAGCTACTCGCCGCTAGATGGACGGAGCTTTCCGATTTACCTAATAGTATACTCACATCAAGTGACAACCTTGCAACATTTATTTCGTCATTTTTTTAAATATCTGATAACATTAAGATAAAAAGGATTACATATTATGACGTTTTTACGAATTTCAGCCGACCGATATTATTGCAAAAGTCTTTTCACTTGTTTTAAACAATTTTATAAATAACATTGACTAGAAATTAACGTTAGAACTTCTTTAAGATGCGATTTTAAATGCGAGAATTTGTCTAGAATTTGTATAGAACGTGACGATGTGTGTCCGAACATATCGCACATGCGCTTGAAATATAGTATTGAAATGAAAATAATTAATTTTAATTAATTAATCGATCAATTGAATTCTGAATAAACTCTTCCTTTCTGCGTCTTTCTCTTTCCTTTTATCGATTAAATTGAATCGAGACGTGATGAACCGTTCGCATTGGTTTAGGCGATAGGCATTCAACTTCTTTCAAGGGTTGCGTCCTTTTCGAAGCGTCTCCTCCCATCCATCTCTTCTAGACACTGATCGTGTCCATGTGACCCAATTTACGTTCTCGGACAGTGACGTATTCATACAGCCCGCACATTTGGCGACCGACACACATGTCCGAAAAGACGACTATAGCTCCATTTAGCTTCCTTTGTGCGAGTCGGCGTCAATATTACCGGCCAATTATTTATAGTCGCGTTTGAGTTGGCGTTAATCAAAAAAAGTAACTATTACGTTATCGGGAAAAAACGGATAAGTATAGCAGAAGCTATGAAACGGCGTCTTCTTTGAAAATTTTTTCAAAGATATACTCTCCATATATTCTCCGATGCAAGCACTACGTACATTAAGAGAGATATACTACAAGAAATATTACAAGTATCTTGTGTGTGAATAAAACAAAATTAATTCCAAACTGCAAGAATATTTTCCCTCTCTTTTTTCCTTTCTTCAATGCAAACGCATGTCGGGTTTGGTCTGTTCGATTTCTCGAATCACGGATTCTCGAGAAAATGAAAAAATGAAAATTAAAAAATATATAAACATATAAACAAAAAATGAAAAAAAATGAAACAAATAAAAATAAAAATATATATATAAATATTTTCAATTTTTTTTCATTTTTTGCATGTGTGTGTGTGTGTGTGTGTGTGTGTGTGTGTGTGTGTGTGTGTGGTACACAAAAAAATGAAACAAATTAAAATAAAAAATATATATATACAAGAAAATTAGAAAATTAAAATTAAAAAAATATTTGTATATATATATACACACAAAATTTTTTTCTTCTATATATATATATATATAAAATCATTTGTGTCGTGCTGCCGAGCCGCTAAAACCTACCGGACGTGGGAGCTTTCCGCTTTATCACCGATACGTAAATAATAATGCAACGCAGTACGTACCAGCGCCTGCTCGATTGTCGGCTCGTTCTATCATCCGATGAAGCGCCCATCCAGCGACGAACGGGCGAAAGCACGACGCGTAATCGTAATTTCTGTGCGTGACGCCGGCACAGCTGTGTGAATACGCCGGCTGCTCTCTGAGGGGCATTCGGCATTCGCTGCCGTCGCCGTTATATCGCCACCAGTGACGATGTAAATTGCCACAATTAGCCGGTTACGGCCGAAACAACGCGTTCGCGCGCTCCTAATGTATAGCCGGAGCAGCAGGAAGTATAAAATGAGTTGTTCTTCGAGCGACGACGACGACGCGACGACGTAAGTGCGAACACCTACCGCCACGAGCGAAGCAACCGCAACCATAAAACCTCGTATTGCCGGCAATGACTCGGCGACCTCCCCTCGTCGGTAGATGGCGCTCCCGTCGTCTTACGGCAGAGACAGCGGCAAACCGTGTCACCTTCATCTTTATCTCCACGGGTAAGTAACTTCAATTGACCATTCATGCATTTTGAGGAAGTGAAAACATATTCCGAAGGCAATTCTTCTCTGTTTCCGCCGAGTTCTTTTGTCCCAACTGAGAGATTTGATCTTCCAAATAATCGAGATGCCAAAGAAAAAAATTAAATAAATGTCGGATGTAGCGAACACGCGTCCGTAGGTTTTTAATAATGTCCATCACTCGAAGGTTTTCTCGACCGATGTGACGATTTAGCGCGTCCTTTCTTTGGGAAATTTATAAAAATCAAACGTTTATTTCGTATTCGGATTAATGCAATTATTTTCGACAGTTATTTCTACCTTATCATAATTTGTGTGTGTGTGTGTGTGTGTGTGTGTGTGTGTGTGTGTGTGTCATAAATTCTATAAAAAAAGAAATACGTACTTGAAATCTACCTACATATATAATATGTCTCATTTGACTTTTGACATTCGAATATCTTCAGAAGGTTGTCTTTAAAAAATATTTCAAATAAAATAGTTATAAGATTTCGAGGTTGACATAAGATAATAATATTATTATGTCACTAAAAATATTTCTTAAAAATTACTTTGAGAAATCAAATTTGATTTTTCTGGAATTTAATGGAATCAGTATTTTTTCCCCTTAATTAGCCGATTTAAGCTCATCGAAAAGTGAATACTTTCTGAAATGTTTTACATTTTATTCTGATACTTTCCAATGTACACGGTGCAATCAACCATTTTTTTTTGCAAGATCTACATTATATTCTAATGCTAGTCTTTGTAGTTGGAAATTACTGACGATCTTTGATTAGGTGCGTAATTAATTACAAATTAATATATTCATGGAAGATTATTTTAGGTCAATATTTTTTGTTATATGAGACAATTATAGGTTAGCGAATAATGTAATATTCATGAAAATATAATCATTTATTAAATAACGAGGAAATAAAGGTACAAAATATCTCGTAAAATATTAATCCTTCGATAATATCACCTTAATATTTTTGTATATAGAATAACGACAAAAAGCGTTCGAATTAATAATGCTAATCTTTATCCACCAGTTAATACATTTACAACGCAATTGAATTTGTTTTACTCTTTCCTCCCTTTTACTACAAACAATTCCATCCGTCATTCCGTATATACAAAAATATTAAGACGACGTTACCGAAAAGTGAATACTTTACGAGATATTTCATATCTTTATTGAAAAGTATCAAGATAAAATGGAAAATATTTCCGAAAGTATTCACTTCTTTATGACCTTATCCCAGGACTTTATACACAAAATATTAGAGAAATCAATTTATATTAAAAAAAAAAGAACTATATGATTCTGTTAAAAAAATCAAACTTGATCTTAAAAATAACTTTCAAAAAATATTTAAAAGTTATAATAATATTATATTCTTGTGTCTCCTCGAAACCTTACAGCTTTCGTTCGAAGCATTTGTTCCAAGAACTTCGTCCTTTCAAGATATCCGAGTGCCAAAACCAAACAAAACAAAATAAAATACACCCTCTATATCTATCCACTTTCTTCTTTCGTAAAAATATATTTAAATAAGTTCAAGAAAATGAAAGATGATATTGCGGACGGGGGCAAGTAATAAGTAAATAATACGATATGAGAATTGCGTGGAGGGACGGGATGGTTTGGGGGAGTGAGGTAATATAAAAGATGGCGGTAGGTCCGGCAGTCCGAGAGTTCGCCGGAAGTTCGGATCAGTGGATTTCCGTGGCTTTGCTCGCGTAAGGCATCGGCTCGTCCTCGTCGCCGATCTTCCGCAGCCGCTGCAGCTCCGCCACTCGCGTTCTGCAACACACGCGCGTACATTCGTTTTGATCATCTCCTCAATTCCTCTTCAGGGCGAAGACATTCTCGGAGGGGGGATCGAGCGGGTAAAATTCAGATACCTTGTCAGAGCTTCCTCGTGCTCCCGTTCCTCCCTACGGTTCTTGAGAACTTTGTGCCCGACGCAAATAATTACCAGCAAAATCGGCACCAGACACGCAAGAATTATACCGGTCGTGATGCCCGCCTGCCGTGAACTGTATTCCTGTTGGCCTGTGTGCGTGAAACGGAATAATATTAATTTCACACGTTAAATCGACGATGACGGATTTTTCCCGGCGAAACTACGTATCGAAAGCCCCGTGCAATCGGACGTGTAATCGGCTGCAAATCCGTCGTCGATTCGAATCCGATAATTCATCTCCGATAATCCATCGCGCTCCGAGCGAAATTGCGATATATATTAATAATAATATAAGCGAGACTTTCAAGCGGGAAGGGGGGGGGGGGGGGGGACGCGGGAAGAGAAAGAATTCACAGTAACACCGGGTGGCAAATTTCCATTCCATTCTAATGCTGCGTTCTGCAACGCAATGAACATGAAGGGTTTCTGCATCACTACAAATATGTTTTTTTCTCTGTGCATGCGTGTGGAATAGAAATTTCCCTCGTTCAGTTTGATGTGTAGAAAATTTTATTCAATCAAAACATTCTTCAAACGTACAATGTGTGCGAGCAAGATGCGCGATATATAATCAAATTGCGGCCATCGTTACGAGGATAAGCTATTACAATGATGGTCATCGTTATTGCGTTTAATCGTCCCTCCGCGCCACCGGGGGTTGAACGTTCAATTCGTTACACACCGGCCGACCGATCGAATTTATACCAATAACAATGGCGACAATGCGTCTAGTCTAAATACAAATAATACTGCATACTATTTCTATTCCACAGCAAGAACAGCGGCATCTTCTATTTACATATGACGGTGAAATTTGATCCGCTTAAAGTAACACCAAGTATCTCGTAATGATACGCGAAATCTCCTCGTGTGTCCCCGAATGGCCCGTGTTTCTCTCCGTTGCTCCTCTCTCTTTCCGCGTTACCGGACGTTCGGTCGTTCTCGCAATCGACTTAATCGGTACTCGATACCCCTTCGACCCTTTGAAGCACATTTTTCCTCCCGCTTATTTCCCGTCGAATTTGGGGGGTTTCCCAGGTCGCCGATCGCGAATCTGAGGTCTGAATTCAAGGATTTTTTCAATCTAACATGGCGGATCCAATACGGAGGACCGAAATTGCAGCGAATCAGCCGAATCACTTCAGACTTGACATAAGCAAGATTTTGTCTAAGTTGTAGATGGTATTGTTTCGATCTCTCCGATCCGTAACCGGCGATCCGAAAACCCTCTATGTGCTATATTTGAAGAGAATCACTTGATTTCCCGCAATTTCGGTCCGCCATCTTTGATTTTGAAATCTTCCAATTCCGACATCAGATTCGTCATTCGCGACCTCAAAATACTCTATATCTAAATTTCAACACCTAAATTTTGAAAAAGTCGCTGGAAAATGTATTTCGTCTAAAAAAAACAGGCATTTTTCTTTCAATGCGGTTATTTATAATACCTTTGCAGTTAACAAAATGTGCATTTCGACGATTCTCTTATATCCACCTATCCCTGAGATACTAGAAAAGAAAATAGTCCAAATATAGTCCAATGAAAATTATATCGACATAAAAATCTAAAAGAAAGAAAGGCGGGAAGTACACAAGTCCCGGCGTGCCTCTGCGCGTGTCGGACGTGCTTAGAAATCGGGAATCGAGATACACCCGTGTCATGGGCGCACGCGCACTAACAAGAATCCACAGTAACGAATCCCTCCGCGCGGGGGCGCGCGAGTCGAGCGACTTCGCTGGCGGTGACTTAGACGTCGCTCTCTTTCGACAGACTCGCTGTTTTTCTCATCGAGTCGGTGCTGTCCGACTCGGTCGGCGAATTGGGCACTTTCAGGTCCCACTCCTTCTCCTCGAAATCGACGTCCGGCCTGTTCGGCAGGGGCTCGTGGGTGCGGTACACCCCGTCGTAGCTACGGCGATGCTTCTTCGTGCTACTAGTGTCGGTCGTGCTCGAGTCGCTGATCGGCGAGACCGCCCTATCGTACGGCTTCAGCGGCACGGTCTGCTTCGACAATGTCGAATCATTGTCGATGCGGTCAGTATAGCGCCACGACTTCGTCGAGCTGCTCCTCGACCCTTTCTTTCGCGCGTAAAGATAACCGCCGGCGATGCAGCCCACCACCGGCACTAACACAGCGCTAATAATCCCCATTGTCGTCCATGCCGTACGCTGAGCGTACTCAACATGACCTATATTTGTGTGTACAATACGCATGAAAAGTCACGGAGAGCACGGAATCGATCGGAAAGTCCTATCGACAAGAGAGAAACAGAGAAAGAGGGAAAAAGAGAAAGACAGAGAGAGAGAGAGAGAGAGAGAGAGAGAGAGGGGCAAATTGAAGGAAGGGAAAACAATGGTGAAGTGAGATGGGAAATGCTATAGAAATAAGAAGTGGAAGAAGAGATGAGCAGATAGTGCGAGAGAGAAAGAGAGCTAAATCAATCGACGTTGCTTCTCAGAGATTCCGCAAACCCCCTCGGCACACAAAAGAGACAGCGAGCTCTCGCTGATTAATTGTTCGGGCATGAGTTTAGACTCGATTTAACTTTTAAAGCAAGCAGATGGAATTGCTCCGACTCTCTCTCTCTCGAGGTTAACTGGCGACGCTAACTGCGCGTTTGCCGTTTAATATTAGGTAAATCGGAAAGTTCCGTCCATCGGTCGATGGCGCACGTACTTGCTGAGAAACGCTTCAATTCTTATGAAGACGTCGAAAAATGGGTATCTGACTGGATAGCCTCCAAAGATGACTCATTCTTTCGCCGCAGAATTCGCTTGCTGCCCGAAAGATGAGAAGAAGTCATCGCTAACGATGGACAATATTTTGATCGATGTACTTTTTCATTTTGTTTCTTAAATAAAACCATACTTTTTGCAAAAAAAAAAAAACGGACGGAACTTTCCAATTTAGCTAATACTTCCTCCACGCACCTCGCTCCATCTTTCGACCTTCGTTTAAGACCGTTAAGCAGACACAGAGGTGGGATCGCAGTTCGGTGGGAAATGAATAAAGTCGGAAAGAAATACTCACGAAGGCACTCGGTGTATCCGTAAATCGGCACGTCCCAGCGGCCCTCAGGCGTGCACACCCGTCGCTGATCGCCGACGAGTATGAAGCCCTGGTTGCACTCGAATGTGATCTTCGTCCCCGGGACAAACTTGAAATTGTTCTTGCGCCCGAATCGTGGTGTCTCCAGCACGCCGCAGGATATCACTTGAAAAATCGAATGTCACGCACGATGTAGCATTGTGGATCCAACTTTCGTTAGGGATTCCAATTGAATAGACAGATGACGATTGCCGACACCAATTTCCAATTTTCTAACTTCCCGCGCAGAAATTTCCCCCGATTTTCCCGTGTACAACATAGGTACTGATTGGAAGGCCCGAAACTGTTTCAGAACGGGTCACTTCCGTTAGTGTCGATCCACAATGGATGTTTTAAGCCATAAGAAATTGACCAATCACAGTTAGTGATTCTCTTCATATTCGACTTAAGGCTTAAAATGCCTTCTGTGGGCCGACATTTATGACCACCAGTTAGGAATCCCAGATTAAGTCTGTTTCTTCGTTGAATTAGCTGTATCAGCTTCCGCTAGTTTCTCCCCTCATTCTCTTCCATCAAGTCTCAACCGTATATCTGTCTTCTTTCAAGTTCGATAAGTGCGGACTAATTCGGCGGAGAAAACAGAAGCATCTTACACAGGGATAACCAAGCAAGATCCGTTTACGTTTCCCACTTAGACCGGTCGTTCACAGTCGAATCTTATACATAAAACCGACTTGAGTTTATTCTTGGACGTTTCGTAGCGAATGAAACAAGCTGTGCACCGTCTGGAGATAAATTTAAGACGGTCTTCTATGTGAGATCCGACTATAAATACCGGCCTTCGAATCGTACGTTCGAAACGTTATATTTCCAACCAGAAGCTGCGTAAATTAGTCAAGAATCCACAATCAGTTTGGGAAATCAGACTCGATCCTAATTGGACCCCGAGAAATTGTCTACGCGGGTCGTCGTCGAACAATGAGTATCCTGTTGTACGGCAACGTTAATCCGGTTTAGTAACGATCATAGTTGCGCTCTTGAAGGTAAAAATATGCCCCGGATAAGTGCAAGAGCTCACCAACTACGCTTGTTACTAACTCGAATTAACGTTACACGGTGTAGGACTCGACAATTGAAAAGTTAGCAATTTCTCTCTGTTCTCTATTATATATTAGCTAGATAAAGCAAATGATAGTTGACGAATAACGATTTGAAATCATCGATCGGATGAATTAAAAGTGTTTCGTGCAAGTCATCCTAAGTGTCGCTTCCGTTCGCGAACGGTTAGACCTGCGAGTCGACACGTAGAGATATCAGCTGTCTCTACTTTACCTTCTCTGCTGTTCGTCGCTCGGATTTTCGTGTAAGTGTCGTAATAATTCCTGGTGAAGTGCGCCAGATCCCGATTCAAGGTCATCACGTAGTCGTACTGGCACTGATACGACTCGCCGCACAAATCTTCCGCCCGTTGCACGTCGATCGTGCGATTTATCGGAAGTATCTCTTTAGGATACTTCCGGTATTCCGGCACGAAGCTGCGATTCGAGTAGAAACTGGCCAATCTGCCGTAGTTTCTGGCGAATAAAGCTTCCCCCGTGAGCTCGTTCGCGTTATCTTCCAGTATCCAGTGAATTGCGAAATCCTTATGAATGGTCTCCGAATTATTCACGCTATTTACCGGCAGTTGGTATCCATTCGGAGTCGTCAAATCGTCCGTAATGTCGAAGTTCCAATTGCCGAACAGGCCCCTAGTTTTATTCTATACAACGGAGAAAGGGAATCTCTTCTATATTTCCGACTCTTAATGATATTAAATATTATTGTATCGTTATTAATAATTGAAATGTAATATTAATAATTTAATCGTTTAATATTTTATTAATAATTTTTAATTAGGGTATTGATAACTTAATGATATATCATCATTATTAATAATTAAGGTACTATTACAGGAGAAAGTGATATTATGGTTCTTATAGGTATTATGATAATAGATATTAATCTATTATCTAATATCTATTACTCTTAATATCTATTAGATGGCGAATTCTAGTGATCGCTTGTGGAATACCACCTCTGATAATTTTATATTAATTTATTATCGTTAATAATAGAAATAAAGAGCAAATAATAATAATATGAGTGGCATATGTCACTTACCATGTACGTCCAAGGCAGGAACGTTCGCAAGGACAAGAATCCTTCGTTCTCCACGACCTCCAGGCCGGCGCCGGTGTCAAACATGATGATGACCTCGCTCTGATTCAAGATGTACGTTGGAGTGTAAACAACGACACCGGGGAAGTGTTGGAATTTCAAAGCCGGCCTGTCAAAGTACACTTTTTTCTCGTTCGCGAGGACATCGAGCCGATACCTCCATTGCGCGTGTTTTGGCCTCAAGCGGACCTCGATAGTCGCCGTGTTATTGCCTCTCACTGCACAGATAAGACAGATCACATCAATCAACTGACAATAACACTGATATTTAAAGGACTCCTCTCAAATTAGGCTCAAGTCTGAAAATTGGATAAATTGAATAAATTCAATCGATGTTTGTTGAAAGTCGGACCAAAATTGATACTTGTGAGAGGTCCAATTTTTTTCACATGCCTGTATAACATTGAGTCGACTGAAAAGATCGTCCCGAGTTTTGAGTCAAGAGAGATTTCATTATACTCGATGGAAACAAGTTGCTCGTCGATAAAATACAATCGACCTTGTCTCTCTCAATTTCTCGGGGCGAAACTTCACTCGAAAATTTTCATTCGAAAATGAGCAATAATCCTAATGTGTTCCATCGTCTCGAGAACATATTGGCCGCAATTAATTGAAACATTCGCTCGTGTAAAGTCAGAATTCGCTGTAAGCTTGAGCGAAACATTCACCCTTGCGATTGCGAGTGGCGGTATTTTCACCATCGAGTGAAAACACTGGCATTTTTCATTTTCCTCGAGTGAGATTCCATCCCAAGGAATTCAGAGAGATCGACTAAGAAGCTACAGCTGTTACTTGGCCGGTGAACTCGAAAAGTTTTTAATACAAAAATATTTTATCATACTGTTTCGAAGAATCCTCGAGGTAAGCTACAAAAATACGCAATAAGAAGTAGGAACTTCCGTTGAGGAAATTTAAAGATGACCTTCATGTGACCTTCAAAGGGCTGTCAAAGGTCAAACCAGTCGTGCCATCTTATGCATCCCTCGAAATCAAACAACTTTTGTATGAAACATCGTTCTGTAAAATCCTTCGTTTCCGAGATATACGCACTTTAACTGACTCACCCTGTATATGTCGAACGGTATTCCATTTTCAACCCTTCGCTCGTTATTGCAACCCCCCCCCCCCCAAAAAAAATAGCTTAGAACCATCCAAAATAATTGATATCAAATATCTTTGCGTTGTTAAGTGATCCTCACGGAAAATTGACTAATAATAATAATAATAATAACAGAAGCTCACCCGCGACCGCGGTGAGGTGCGTCGCCATCACCTGTCCGTAGGCGTTGTTGGGTAGCTGCTCGAATCTGCCCTGCACGTCGAGCTTGTCGCGTATGTGATTCACTTTCAGCAGCACGAATTCGCCTTTGCCGTTGAACGTGTACTCGAGGCCGTCGAACGTGACGAAGTGGGGGTCGCCGAACACGGTCGCCACCCCGGGTGCCTGATAAGCGATGCAGTCCTGCGACGGCCTCCTCTCGAATCGGAAGGTCTCGCAACCGACCGAGTGCTCCTCCTGCCAGTTGCAACACGTGTACCAAGGCGAGACGTCGTGGTACCAGTGCGAAAGAGTCGGTATCTTGTTCGCCTCGTTCCACGGCGTGTAGCCCAGATTGTGGGAGCGATGCGGCCTCGAACCCTCTACTCGGTCGTAGGTCAGCATCAAAAAGCCGTCGTGATCGTAGCAACATTGCTGCTCCGAGCCGTCCATGCTGGAAAGTGCGAACACACAGTTTGCCTTTTTTTCCTTTTGCTATTGTATTTCGGTATTCGTTTGAAACGACCCGTTTTTATTCCTCGGAAGACGTTAATTTTGCGAGGAAATAAGTTCGAAATAAAAGTCGCGTGGGTTTCGAGGGAGCGGAGGATTATAATATTGTTTTACGTCGTCGAAGTACTTTTTCAAAGGTTACTTCAAAGTTGAATTCGATTTCGTTTTTAATGGAACTATGTGCCTTTTTTTCAACGTAAATCTATTCTTCTAGTTTCATTTTGCGTATAAAAGCATCGGAGTCGGAGATCGTCGAAAGAAAGAAGAATCACAGGCATTGGAGGTTGAAGACCCTTATCAAACGCGAAAACAACATGCAGAAACATTTACTTGTACTCAATCTATCATTTCCGATCGTTTGAAAGCCTTAGGAAAAGTCTACAAGGGAGGAAAATGGGTCCTATGTGAACTGAAGCCAAGAGACATTGAAAGGCGAAGAACCATCTGCAAAATTCTGCTTGCTAGGCAACAAAAAAAAGGGGTTTTTGCATCGTATCATCACTGAGGATGAAAAATGGATATATTTTGTCAACTCCAAACATCGAAAAACTATTTGCAATCCCGGCCAATTTTCAATATCGACACCAAAGCGGAATATCCACGGAAAGAAGGCAATGCTCTATATTTGGTGGGATCAGAAGGGTGTGGTTTATCATGAGCTACTGAAATCTCATCAAATGGTCACTTGGCATCTCTACCGAGAACAAATTATCCGTTTGAGCCGAGCATTGCACGAAAGATGACCAGAATATGAAACGAGACAGCATAAAGTGATTCTGCTTCATGACAACGCTCGTCCTTGCGTCACAAAACTTGTCAAGGAAACGTTAGAAGCACTTCGCTGGGAAGTGCTACCCCATGCGGCTTATTCACCAGACTGTGCCCCTTCCGACTACCGCTTGTTTCGGTCGATGGCACACGCACTTGCTGAAGAACGCTTCAATTCTTACGAAGACGTTGAAAAATGGGTCTCTGACTGGATAACCTCCAAAGATGAGTCGTTCTTTCGCCGCGGAATTCGCTTGCTGCCCGAAAGATGGGAAAAACTCATCGCTAACAGTGCCCAATATTTTGATTGATATAGTTTTTCATTTTGTTTCTTAAATAAAACCATACTTTTTGCAAAAAAAAAAACGGACGGAACTTTCCGATTTATCTAATATAAAAAGAATAAAGATGAATCGCTCACTTGGGCGCGCCGGTCTTCACGCAGTGTTGCGCCTTCTCGTTGTAGAAGCAGACTTTATTCGTGTCCTTATCGCAGTCGAGGTCTGGGAGGAAGCGGCCTTTGTCGTTCACAGCCTGCTCGAGAGTGCAGGGACATATCGCTATCTCGGCGGCGAAATTCTTCAGGTATCTGTCGTTCATGATCCAATTGTCGCAGAGTTTCTGCGGCCACTTGGGGCCGTGCGTTCGTTCCCACTGCGGGCCGAAGTACCAGCCCAGCGGAATCGGTCTGCTCCACAAGCTCCTGAAAATGGAAATCGTTCGAAGCCTTTTGTCGTCCGGGACGGGGAAAGGATAGTCGTTCGGAGGATAGATTCTTTTGTGAAAACTTACGGCGATATCGAGAGTCCCGAGTACAAATGCGGCTCGGTCAGATTGATCTGCAAGAAGCCGAAGACCATGTCCTGATGATAAGGATTGTACTGCTCCCGATATCTCGCCGGCTTGATGACGTAGCTGCCGGTATTGGTGTGCGATTTCTGCAACACGCGCGTAGCACTGATTTAATTTGGCCTTACTTTATCCGAGGACCGAATGAAAACGGTCGGTTCCGGTCCATTAAGATATTTAATAAAGGGTTTCGGTTTTCTGGACAATGAAAGTATCGGTGAACCGTTTGAATCGCGGTTTTCTTCCGTTCCGGTTCTTCAAACTTGTTTCCTTGCCGACATTTTTATTGACTTAAATTTGATTTATATATAACGTATACGATGATATAATATGGTATAAAAAATAATAATATCTTCCTCGATGTAGATGGCGTTTCTTCACAATCTCCACCTTCTGCTCTTAACTTTTTCAGTTACATAATATTATCCTCATTATTTGTAATCTCTTCCTAACGGAACGTGTAAATTACGTGGATCCCGAGAATATCCGGAGAGTATTTCGATACTCTCCGAGCTTCCTCAGAATATACACGTTCTGTTAGAGTAATTTGTACAATTCGGGGTGATCGTCTTTCTATTTTATCCCAAAATGACATATTACTTCTTCTTATTTATTCCAAAATCGTAACATATTACTTCTCCTATCAATCCTCTTCCGTTCAATATCGTATGCTTGTTTATTTTCTATTTGTCGCGATGACCAATCAATATTCTGCTTCTTCGTGAGAACTAAAATTTCATTATGAAATAAAAACGATCATTTCAAATCACGGAATAAGAACCGAAATAGTGATACCGATAAGAATCGCAAGCCGAAACAGATGTAACGGTTCCGATTTCCTGTTCTATAGGCTTTGTAAAATTTCGTTACAGTTTCCTGGCCTCTAATCTCGTCGTTTTATCACACACGTATCGGATACAAGCCCAGTACGAACCTCCAGTACTGTGATGTACTCGAATTCGGGCGTCGTTTTCGTCTCCCGGTATCCCCAAAGCGAGATCTGAACGCCCGCCCCGAAATTGCTGGTCAAATTGTACGCGTCCCACGTGATTTTAATTTCCGCCGGATCCTTCTCGTGAATGGCATCGTTGTCGAAGATGATCTTCATCGCCGCCGTGGCTGGAGTTTCTGAAGAGAAAACGTAAAAAAGTTTCACGCAACGTCTCGTCGTCATAACGGAGGCAACGAGTCTTACTGGAACAGCAAATTGTTTGTTGAATGACGGTAAAAAACATTTTTTACACGGACAAAATAATGTTGCTGCAAATGTTGCAGCAAAACGTTGCGACAGCATTATAATTCAGTCGGCGTAACCAAATTATTTTACTGCCCATATATCTAGCAAATAGCAATTAATACTGTTTGACAAATCTTTCTGCTGTCCGAACAAATTTTTCTTGCTGTCACTATATTGACAAACAATTTGCTGTTCTCGCAACATTTTTCCCCCGTGCACGGACCTTCCCTACGGAAGCGGGAAAATAGTAACGAATGAATACCCAAGCAGCACATATTGCTTAGTTAACCCTTGCCTAACGTTGACCAAACGTTGAGCAAACAAATTGCCCAATGATTGAAGCAAGGTTGTGGACAAAGGCATTACGTAATGTTTATTATAAATTTTTATGAAGTCTCCCATGAAAACAATATCTCAAAAATTATCTAGATAAGTAGCGCTAGTTATCTTATCTTTCATATAGATAAATTAAAAGAAAAGGCATCTTCATCTCATTTAAGATGAATGTTTCATCTTAACGGACGAACGTTCGTCTCATCTTCATCTAGATGAATCTGAAATCATCTGAATCGAACGCTGTTCACTGAGTAGTTGACGAAATTGACGCAGAACTCATCGGATATCATCGTCGAGTTTGTCTTATATCAATACGAGATGTCTTACCGACGAAGTATCTTCCTTTCCACCTGTTATTATCGTTGATGTTAGCGATGCTGACTATCAGATCGATGTAGCCCTCGTACTGCAGGCGCGGCTGCACGCAAATCGCGCGATTCCTGTCCACCACCGTGCCCACCACGTTGGTACCTTGGAAATTGCACAGTATCTTCTGGGTCTCGTTGAAGCACGGCCCGGTGATGTTGACGATGGTGCCCCCCAGCATATTCCCGCTCTCCGGGGCGAATACCAGCAGTATGTGTGCTCCGGCTGCGCAACGCATTTTGAGAAAAAAGATCAACGGGCTATCAACACCGAGCGTGTTTCATTGAGGCTCTCGGACGTCGCTGCAACTTGCCTGACGACGTCAGAAGCGAGATATGTCAAGAATACTTGACGAATTGATTTGGCTGTTTATCGATCGTTCGAGTGGATGAACATTTTACGGGTGTACCGAATCGATCACAAATGTCATATCGCGAGTACATCTTCTTGTTTGGACGCACAACGCAAGGATTCCCGACACGCGTCGTTTTCCCGCTTTCGACGTCACCAAACAAGGACAGTTGCCTTAAGAACATTTCGCATTCTTACAGATGTCCTTGTTGCAGTTGCCGAGCATTATGTTCTCATCTATCCTGAAGATGTGCCGACCCGGGAACCCGTTCGCCCAGCCTCGGTGCGTCAAGTCCCGCACCGTCGTCATTTGCGAGTAAGGCTTGTACTCGTAGCTCTGAGTACCGTTCCCGGCGTTGAAACCAACCTGGCGACCGAGCCGATTTTCAACGATAAATTCAGTTTAGCGAATTTCTCCGGGCAACGTAAATCTCTGAAGGTGCGGTTTTGAAAAACCGCTTCTTTCCTCCGTTCCTCCTCGGAAAGAAACCGATTCGGATTCGGAGGGTATACGACAGATCCTTGTTTTTTCACCGTGATCTACCGGTTGCCTGTTGTATTTTTGCCAGCAAGGCATTTTTAACACAGAAAAAATTTACAACAGATACCATGCGATCTTTCGGAAATTCCTGTTGCTCGGATTATTCGCGGCAATATTTTTATATGCGTGTCCTCTATCGAGGAATATTTAATGACTTCAAATGTGAACAGGTGAAACATTGCATAAAGTTGAATTAAACCAAAATATAAGCAGGGATCCGGAACGAGTGAAAATATCGGTTCTGGTCTTTGAAAATATTTAATAAAAGTTCCGGTCTCGGTTTTCCGGACAATGAAAGTTTCGATAAACCGTTTAAATTATGGCTTTTTTCAGTCCCGATTCTATAAACTTGTTTCCTTACTGAAATTTTTAATTATTTAAATTATATATATATATATATATATATTTATATATATTTATATATAGATAATAATAATTATTATATATAGATAAATAATATATATAATTATATAGATGTAATATATATAATTATGTAGATAAATTATATATATATAAATGTAAATTATATATATAAATTATATATATATACACACACAATATATATAACGTGTACAATAATATATTATAAAAAATAATAATATCACTTCATGGATGTAGATGGCATTTCTTCACCATTTCCATCTTCTGCTCTTAGCTTTTTTGAATATATATAATATTATCCTCGTTATTTGTAACCTCTTCTTAACAGGACATGTAAATTACATGGATTCTGAGAATATCCGAAGAATATCTCGATATTCTTCGAATATTCTTTCTCAGAATATACACGGTTCCATTAGAATGTATACAATTCAGAATGATTTTCTTTCTATTTATCCCAAAATCATAACATTACTTCTTCCATCAATCTTCCATCAAAAGGATTCTCTTCCGTTCAATATCGCACACTCAAACTTTATTTCCATTTGTCGCGATAACTACTCAATATTCCGCTATCTCGTGAGAACTGGAATTTTATTACGAAATGAAAAAACAAACGATTATTCAAAATTACCGAATAAGAACCGAAATAGCGAATCGAGGAAAAATGTAACGGTTCCGATTTCGGTTCTGCGGGCTTTATAAAATTTCGGCGCCGATCTCCGCGGTTTTCGGTCCCCGAATACCGAATACGACAAAGTTCGTTCGATCGCAGGGGATCGTTTCGCCAAACTTCTCGCGATGGACTCACATATGCGGGCACTCCGTTCTCGCCTTGAGTGGTGTCGCCTCCCGCCTCCGTGTGACTCGACCATTGCAGATTGAGGTAGTTGAACATCGCGTAGGTATAAACCTCGTCGGTGGCCAGCACCAGTTGGAAGGTGTTGGTCCTGTAGAGCGCCGTGTCGATGCCGCCGGTGAAGGACATGTTCTTCCAAGTGACGATGATCGCGTGCTTCGGTACGAAGGAGTCGGAACCGACGACGCCCTCGCGAATGTCCCACATGAGACGCTCCCGCATCTCCACGCCGAACTGATCCGTCCTGCCTTGCAGATCCCTCTCGAGCCTTGAGATGCGACGATACCGTAAATTTCCCTTAGTCAGCGTTTGCGTAACATCGACGACTTGGGCTTACCTGAAGTAAACCCCCGGTTTCCTCTTGTCGATGTCCGTCTCCCTCCTCATGCCTATGCGACACTTGCTGAAGAAGATGCCGATGAAGCTCGGATCGTTCTTCATCGGCCAATCCTTCACCGGGAAAACGAGGGGGTGCGTGAAGTGTTCCGGCGGGTCGCTGAACTCCAGGTAGCCGTTCACGGTTAACTGAAACGGTCAGGTGGCTCGTTAAAGTATCCTTTTCGTCGGCGATCCGTCGTGAAACTCTCAACCAATGAGGCAGTCGGACATCCGAATATCCAAATTGCGAATTCGACTCTTAATTTGACGTATCCGTCGGAGAAAAGGAAGTTTCTCACAAGTCGAAATTCTCGTCCTATGATGAACTTTTAAGGTCCAATTTTAATTTTAATCTTCTTAACTAATCTTCTACTTTCTGACCCTGACGATTCCGTTTTCGCTGTTTTGGCGTTAAAATAAGTTGTTTCAGCTAGCATTAAAATAAGGTATGTAGGATCTACTGTGGAATATTTGCAGAATGTAAGAAGGTTTTCATGAATCTTCGGACCTTTTTAGTAGGTGCGAAGTATTTTTAAGAGCGTCCGAAGTAGCGTAAAAATTTCGTCGGTGCCTCCTTCACAGGAGTTTACAGAAGTATTGTGAGAGAAAATAAATGATAATATGTGGTGAATATACGATCATACTCTTGTGTAATTAAACCTAAATCCGTAAAAGGGCAGCTGAAAGTTCAGATTCTTGTGGATCTGCAGTGTCGTCGCCTGTAGAGCCGTTTGGTAATCTCCGTTATCATCATCGCCGCCTTTATCAAAGTACCAATACATGAATTTCTTTCGAATATCTTTCAATCGGGTTTCTGTTATCCCATAGTCGGCCGGACTGTCATCCAGACGAGGCGCGTATCTGTAAGCCTCGGGTGAGTCCGAATCTGCAAGTGTGTCGAAATATCAATGAGAAGAGATTCGTTAAAAACAACCGAACGAAACGAATGTATCATCGTAGTTAGAAATTCGAAAACTTCAAGCGGGATCGACAATGAGAATTTAGCTCTAAGCATTAAAAAATTGACTAACCACAGTCGAAATATTATCGTTTGTGAGAAGAATAAACGCCTGGGATCGGCCAATTTCTTAGAGCTTAAAGCTCTTACAGGCCAGGACTGAAGCAAAGTCTATAATTAGGGTATAAGATTTAAGAAATTAACTAATCATAATTGATTTTTCTTCTATTGTTCGACTGTGATTGGTCAATTTCTCAAGGCTTAGAGCTTAAAGCTATTACAGATCGGGACTGAGAAGAAACCTTAAAAGTACGTGTGAATATGAAATATACAAAAATTCTTTTTATCGATAATATATAAATAAATGTGTGTTCCATCGCGCAAAGTCGAGCGAATTCCCGATCGAAGTTTCCGCCGAGTGAAACTCGACGTGGTGAATTCCACGTAGGTCCGTCAACTATTCCGTACACCATCGCACAAAAATGACTCGTGATATATCTAATGATTCATCCTCGACTCACGCTAAAGTGAGTCTAACTGATAAACACCGTGATAAGCCCCGATACGGATTGTTTCTACAGGTAATTTCAAGCGCGACGTCCGCCGAACGGGCTATTTTCGATCATCCCCGTTTCCTCCGAAAAGCAACCATGCCGAGGGAGACAAGTTTGGATCAAAACGAGGATCAAAAAAAGAGACAGATCAACATGCGGAGCACACGTGCGCGTCACCGGAAGTCACATATTGTGAAATCACAGTCACGCCCATATTGATAACGGATTACCCACCGTATTTCACGTATTTCGCGATCTTCTCCTTCGTCATCTCACCACCGGGGATGGTCTGAACGTCCGCGGACGTGCCGTCCAGCTCCTCGCTGTCCTCCGGCGCGAAAACGACTTTGCTTGTCGCCCGGACTCGGGCCAGATTTTCTTCACCGGCCTCCTCGACGGGGATGGAATCCGTCTTCTCCGCCACGAACTCATCGAGCTCCAAAGGCACTTTCGCCTCTCCGTGGAGCGACTCCTCGCCCTCCGCGTTGTAGTTCTCGATGGACTCGGCCGAATTCAAGCCGAACGCACTTTTGAACGTCTCGTTGTCGAGAGCGGTCACTTCGTCGTATGACGAGGTCAACGAGAGGAGACACGCGAGAAAAACGATCCATTTCGAGAGCGTGCAGATGCGATCGAACTTCGACGCTCGACGACGAGGCATTTTCGCGAGAGCGTCGGAGCGCCTTTCAGTTATCTAATTACCGTAGTACGCACGACGAAACTGAACTGAGATTCGAGAGGTAACAAGTCGCGATAACGATGATACTGATATCATCGGTTCCACCGTGATAAGGTATATTATCTCTCCTACACGTTGATTATAACGCCACGGGAAAAAGTAAGGATGCGTCCCACTTACGAGAGAAGGGCGTATCCGTTTCTCTCTCGTGTACAGCGTATATGACAAAACTCTCCCGGCCTCTTCCGTAAACCGATCTCTCTTGTTTCCGAATAACAAAATATATGCATTAAAAAAATATACATTTTTTATTTTCTGTGATCTTTCTGCGATCTTGCCTTAGTTGGCCGGATTTTTCTCCGATCTTGCCTTAGTTGGCCGGATTTTCCTTCAATCTTGCCTTAGCTGGCCGGATTTTTCTCCGATCTTGCCTTAGTTGGCTGGATTTTCCTTCAATCTTGCCTTAGTTGGCCGGATATTCCTTCAATCTTGCCTTAGTTGGCCGGATCTTTCCGCTATGACTTGAAGGGGGTCACGAAGGTCAAAGTCAGGATTCAATGTCCTTAGCAAAAATGCGCCGTTTTCGAGATATTTCGCAATACTTCGAGATCATTTGATTCGGTCTGTAGAGTAAGAGTGACCCCAACCAGCAACCACATACCTGAACGTAAAATGTCCGCTCTTTTCATCTCTGAGGTCAAAAATAGGGGTTTCCGTTGAAAAAAAAAACAAGTTGACCTTCCAATGACTTTTAAATCCGATCTCAAGATCAAAGTCAAGATCACCATTGAGTTCCGTCCTCAAAATCCTAAAACTTTAAAATATCTCAATCATTTTCTTACTAAAGTGTGCCGTTCTCGAAACATGTCAGAGTTTTCATACCTTTGCCTCACTCTGTATATACTTTTATGTGTGTGTATGTTCCTATACTTAAAATGCTTGTATTGGTTACTTTTTTCACCATACAAATTTATGGCACTTAATTTTTACCCTTTTGTATGCGTACGTGTGTGTGTGTGTGTGTGTATATACAAAGTATTTCTTCTATATAATCCGAACACCTAAAATATCGCCGTCCTTTTTTTTGATAATACGAAAAAAAGAATCAAAGGAAAAAACTGATTCAAACAAATTCAGGGTTTTTTGTAGAGGTATTTAAAAAATACAAAATTTATCAAAATATCATCGCATCGGGAGAACACAAGACAGCATTCGGTGTGTACGTACCGTTATAACTCCGGAACTTATCGAAAGTCTGAAACGTTCATACATTTATTGTATTCGTAATTGCATTTTTATAAAATGCATCGAATCTTAACGGTATTGATTTGAAGTGCACCTTCCGAGGTAGAAAAGAAAGCATGTATATAAGTGCGAATAAATAAATTCTTCACACGGTTCTTTATTTCTGTAAAAACGTGATTTTTGGCTTGTTTATGATTATGTGAAAGTCGACCTACGTACCTGGTTGAATTTATTTATTTACATGTTATATCATTGCATTGATGAAAATATGTCGCCCCGATGAAAAAAAAAATATTGACGACCTAGAAATCTCACAAAATATGATCTAAAAAAGAAATCCTCAGTTATATTAAAGTACTTCTACTCTACTCCTTGGAATTGAACAATTTCTTCCTCCATCTTCTTTTCGTATCATTAAAAGGAGCAAAAGACATTGCAAGTGCTCGAATTATGAGGAAAAAAAACATTCCGTATCACAATATATACGTACATATACGTAGTCAGTGTGTTTTCAAAGGCAAATTATTTATTCGAATTTTGCAACTGTCCGTTATTTACAAAGCAGATATTCCTAGTACGATTAGTTCGAAAATGTACCAAAATCCTTCTCTCTTTATTCTTTGCGGACGAGTTTTACAATAAAACGAGTGCGGTATATATAGCAAATATTATAAGAAGAATACCTCGTATTTAAAATCATATCGCTTATGATATTTCTTTTTTTTTTACACGAATGCATCATCCACGCCACGATAATCCTTTTATATGTATAATAAAAATGTATGATCCTTATATCGAGATGGTTCGTATGATTCCAACTTAAAAGAAGAAAAAAAACGGAAAAAAAAACACTGCATCCTTTCCTCTCGATTTTCTAAAATGTATACGAATTTCTCTCGCTTAAAATGTATCGCGCTATAAATGTATCATAGAATAAATATACATATCAACAGTGATAGACACGTCTACATAATGCAGCATGTGCAATCGAATGCATTAATTCGATTTGATGCGATTAAACTGAACCGTGGAATATTTAAAATTTAAGAAATGTCCCAATTAACGTAATTAACGGTAGTCACGCGTAATTGTGAGTCGATTTACTTTACATTTTGCGAATGAACGAACCAAGAGGGGGGGTGGGCGGCAAATCTCCCGTGCGAACGCGGACGAACCGGAATAATCAATGCACTCGATTTCACATTACGTTCGGTTTGGTTACACGGTATTAAGCAGTTTCTTTTTTTTTGTATGCATCGTTCGAGAGACATATACGATATATATACATACATATTTATGTATATATAAGTATACATATTTAGACATATGTATACAGCGAAGATCTTAAAAGTAAGGGAAATGGGATTTTTGTACTGCAATGGTATCTTGTATATCAATATTGTCCAAATGTTTACAAACAAAATCTATATTACATTTTTCTCTTTTTTTTTTTCCTTTAATGTTGTTCGACGTTGTAAATATATATATATATTTTCGACGTGGTAGTACGTATCACAGAAGAAATCTACAAAAGAAATTGCGGATTCAAAAGAATAAAAAAGAAGAAAAAAAAGATGGACGCGTAGATCTGAAAGAGATGTGTCTAAATTGTATGTTATGTGAAAAACTACAGCAATAATGTCAATGTAATATCGCGAATATGAACCATACACTTGATCACTAAGTGAAAAGATTTTTTTATAACATTTTATTTATAATGTGAAATAATTTCTCTCTCTCTCTCTCCCCTCCCCCTTCACTCTCTCTCTCACTCTCTCTCTCTCTCTCTCTCTCTCTCTCTCTTACGATTTTTTCCTTTAACATTACGCAGTCGAGGTATTATCTCCATTTGCGTCCAGATATCCACCAGCGGATCCATTTACAACAAATGATGTTCCTAAACCGTACAAGTGCCCGCAATATTTCGCATCATCGATATTATCTTCGAAAAACATCTGGAATAAAAATCAACGGTGATTTATCACTGTGACTTTGCGACTCGATTATTTCGCAAATCGCACTTAGTTAAACAGGATTACTCACTTCTCGCATCTTAAAAAAGACCATGCCAGTGAGAAGAGCGTCCGAACCAGCCTGATGCTGAGGGCCCACTCTTTGAATTTCCAATTGTTCCGCCACTTCTTGCAAGCCACCTTTCAAATTCTTGCACGACTTCATTAAGTACTAAAAAGAGTGAAACATATCATGGATATCTCATATATGTATATCTACGAGATCTGGCTATTAAATAACGAGACTGCTTATGAAAAAGAGTTTTATTTTAAAAATTATTCTACAATCGAATGCTCCCCTTCAATGTACTCCCCTCCCCTCGCCACACACTGTTCCATTCGTTTTTTCCATTGGTCAAAGCAATGCTGGAAGTCTTCTTTTGTAAGTGTATTTAGGAGCTCCGCCGACTTTCGCTTCACCTCTTCCATCGACTCGAACCGGGTTCCTTTTAACCCTTAGCTGACACACGGGGTTAAAAGTACCCCNAACCGGGTTCCTTTTAAGACAGACTTGATCTTTGGAAACAGGAAAAAGTCACAGGGTGCTAAATCAGGCGAGTACGGCGCGTGTTCGAGCACTGGAGTGCCTCTAGCGGCTAAATAACGCTTCACAGACAGCGCGTTATGGGCAGGTGCATTGTCCTGGTGCAAGATCCACGACTTGTTTTTCCACAACTCCGGCCGTTTCTTACGAACTCGCTCTCGCAGTGTTGCCAAAACTTTCAAATAGTAAGTTTGGTTTACAGTTTTACCCTCTGGAACCCATTCAGTCATCACGATGCCGTTGATGTCGAAAAAAACGATTAGCATGGCTTTAAATTTTGATTTCGACATCCTTGCTTTTTTCATTCTTGGGGATGCAGGAGGACACGCGCACGAGATAGAGAATTCTCACCATAGGCCTCTTTCAACAAGTTATAGCACTCAGTCGGAGTTCTTTTTAATTTAACGAGAAATTTCACATTGATCCGTTGCTCGTGTTTTTCGTCACACATTGTTATCGGCACGAGAAAAAAACACGTTCGTTTCTAACCTCTATAGAAAAAATACTACTACAGCGACAAAAACGAGGTTTCGTACTGGAATAGTAGACACTTCCACCTATCCAACGCTGCATTCGTTTCCCCCCCTTCCCCTCTAGGACGACTTCTGCGCGCGCAGTCTCGTTATTTAATAGCCAGACCTCGTATACAGGGTGTCTACAAGTATATGACAGCTGTTGCACACCATAGAAACCGAGAGAACGATGCGGGACACCCTGTATATCATATATGCATACATATATAAAGAATTCTGCGCTCACTTTTACATCGTATATCTTCGGGAAGTATATCCTGAGGAGCTCGAAAAATTCACTTTCTTCCTGCGGCAGCTTTTGATCCGTGAGAAGTTTCAACAAATAACCGAAATCGTAACCAGAATGAAAGGACAGCCATTTCACGTCGTCGACAAGAACGATCCCCGATGTCATCAAGAGTTCGGCGAATTCCAGGGGGTCGATGCCCTCCTCCTCGTGCTTCTTGAACTGTATGCCGCTATTCTGTAGCATGTCTATACTATCCTGTGCATACATGTCTTCACTAGCAACAACAAAATGTACACATCATATTACCAAAATTGCGGAAAAAAAAAGTTAAAAAAATGTTAAATACGTGTGTGTGTGTGTGTGTGTGTGTGTGTGTGTGTGCATAGTTAGAAGTTCGTTCTCTTCGTCATCGTTACATAACACGCAAAATATATGTTGAACATCAACGATACGCAAACTTACTGTAAGTTAAATTTAAAATTAAACTGCCAGGTCGTGTAGCCGCCCGGTGTATTCCCCGAATCGTCAAGGAATGTAAGACCAAGTTGAATTATCCGTAAAAGATCTACATTGCAACGTAAGAGCTGATATTGGTAATCGGCGTTAGTCCTAAATTCACCTGACAAATAACAAAGAAAAAAAAAATATCACAATCCCCGTAGACCTTTGCGAGGGTGACGTCCAATCGGAGTTCTCCAAACGTCACGTCCGGCCTTACCGATTGGCCTGGCTACAACACCAGGGAACTCCGTATCCATCGCAACATACTGATATTGCTGCACGACTTGGCGGATTGTGCGAAATTCCTCCTCCAAATTGTGGCCCCACACATCTCGGATTCCGCATTCTTCGTTACTGGGCAGAGTCGCCCCGCCCTTCTGCTGCCCTATTGGGTTGGTCCCGCCTGAGAACGTTTCGCAATTAAATAATACACGCTGTTTAAACACAGAAGATAGTTGAGATTTCAATGAACCTTACATATATTTATCTTAATCGTCTTATGTGAGGTATTGAATTGACACTTGACGCGATATGGAAAATCTGCGACAGGCTGAAAATTTTGGAACTTTGCTAACTTATCGTCGTGGTTCACGGATATAAGAATATCGAGAACATGGAAGTCTCTTTTAAACGGGGTCTACAATAAGAATTTAAAGTGTGAGACTTGAGAAATTGACCAATCACGCTCGAATTACTGGAGAAAAGCCAATCGTGATTGGTCGACTTCTCAAATCTTACACCTTAAATTCTCACTGCAGACCCCGCTTTAATTAAGAGAGAGAGAGAAGACACTTTAGACACACTTTAGAAACTTTACAGACATAACTTCGTGTATTTCACACTTGGGTGGTAAAAAAGCGGCTTCCTCGTTTACAAAGTTTACGTGAATCTCAACTGGTTTAACACTTCCAAACATATCGGATCTTTGAACTGCGCCTCCTAATGGCGCTTTGTAAATTCTACAATAAAGCACACTTCTCTCATATCGACGAATCCTTCACAGTACATTTCTTCTAATATTTCCCTTTACGGTATTTTCACTTGGAAAACCTGTCTTATGCTTTCGTCGTCTCTTTACTTTCCTCGATAAGTAAGGGAGTTTCACTCCCCTTACTCACTAACTGGGCGCACCTGTGCGTCTCTCACCTTCAGTGTTCCTAATATCGTTCAATGTCTGACTCAACCGACACATATTCTCGCATGCACGACTTTTCATCCGTATCGACAATGAATCATTTCTATTGCGCAACAGCTTTTATTCACACAGAGCATTGTTACATGTGTCTTGTGTCTCTCGCAAGCAGAGAGAGAGAGAGAGAGAAATATATATATATATATATAATACATAGATCGTTTACATCTTACGCACCAGTAGCTGAAGGCATTTGGCCAGATATATCCCTGTGTGTTCCCCGGGAAGCTACTCTTATCTTCGAATCACGGCCTCCCCGGTTACGGTCCTTCCTTCTTCATATCACTATAAAGTATCAAAGTACAATCATTGGGTGGGAAAACCGGCGAAACGTCGAGTTCACGAGTATCATCGGTCAAAGGTGACTCTGAGCTGCGATTTATAAATCCGGTGTTAAAACTGTGTCTTAGAGAGAGGAGAGAGAGAGAGAGACAGATAGAGAAACAGCCAGTTGTCAGAGTCGGACTATCTACGTCAGTCCTGGTCCACAGATGCTTTAAGCTGCGAGCTTTGCGAAATTGACCAATCATAATCGGATTATAGGAGAAAAATCAATTATGATTGGTCAGTATCTTAAATCTCACGCCTGAAATTCTCAGAGGCAGGTTATGAGTCGCGGGTAAACAACGGGGATTCATCACAGTGAACGTCGCGTAAAGTCGCAGGGCGACGTCGGATGAGTTGACGGAGGAACGCGCGAGCGAGGTCGCCGACGACGGAGCGACGTAGGGCCGCGCGATTCGTCGCTCGTCGAGTCTGTCTTTCGTCCGAGCGTGAGAGGTTAAGTGTACGGGATAAGCGGATACGTCGAGTCTCGAGTTCACTACGGCGAATTGTACCTTCGATTGTGACGTCTTCGGCCCGCGCGAGGTCTCACTCCGTGCGTGTGTGCGACGAATTAATCGAGGTTGCTGCGAGCCACTCGTCCCCGAAATCCCCACGATTCACCGTCGCAGCGTGAACGGTTCAAACGACTTCGGTGCGCGAAGTCAACCTTGTACGCGCGACCACGAAGTACACCGCGGCGCTGCGATCGCCGGTAACTAACAACTGGCGCTATTCTCGTCGATGATGACGATCGACCGTCGCGCACCTTCCCTCCGTTACCGACCATACCCGCCACAGGTGAGGCTATATCCGTTATCGATATCTCGACGATATCACGATCTACTCGTTTTCCTTGTACGCTGGAAAATCGCCCGATGACACGAGGAATTTAAGGAACACACGCGTGCCTTGGATCCTGCAAGTTTCTTAAGCGGGGTCCACAACGAGAATTTAAGGCGTAAGATTTGAAAAATTGACTAATTGTAATCGACTTTTCTTCTATTACTCGAACTGTGATCGGTCAATTTTTTAAATTTTGCGCCTAAATTCTCATTGTGGACCCCGCTTTAATCCCGGTCTACAATAAATGCTTGCAGCTCCGTCTTAAGAAACTAGCCAATCACAGTTGAATTACAGGCGAATAATCAATCGTGATTGGTCAATTTCTTGAGGCTTAGAGCTGAAATTCTCATTGTTGATCCAGTTTTAAATTCTGGTCTACAATAGATAGTTTAAGCTCTGAGTCTTAAGAAACTGACCGATCACAGTCGAATGTGAGGAGAATAATCGACTGTGATTGGCCAATTTTTTAAGGTTTAGAGTTTAAATTCTCATGAAGACTTCGTTTTAATCCCGGTCTACAATAAATGGCTTAAGCTGTAAGCCTTAAGAAATTGACTAATCACAGTCGAATTATACGAGAAAAATCAATCATGATTGGTGAATTTCTGAAATCTCACGCCTTAAATTCTCATTGTAGACCCTGCTTTAAGTTCACGCATTGCTTACGTTTACGTGTTGGAGAATAAATGTAAAGCCCGTATCAGACTATGGATTAGAGATTGAGGTTGAATTGAAATCTGACCAATCAGTGCAAAGTTCGCTGAATTTCACTAAATTTGAATTCAGTTAACTTTGCACTGATTGGCCAAATTCAATTCAATCACAATCCCCAATCCATAGTCTTGGGCATAAGTCCTAGTCTAACAAATGTTTCAAGTCTTGAGCCTTAAGAAATTGACCAATCACAATCGAATTATAGAAGAATTGTAATGGGTCAATTTTTTAAGGCTTAGAGCTTAAATTCTCATCGTAGATCCCGCTTAACATGCGTCGATAACGACTTCACGCCCGCCGATAAGCTGTGCATCCGGTAACTATTCGATTAGCGGGCCAAATGTTACGTCGGAACTGTCAAACCATAACACGTGACTCTTTTGTGTTTGTAAATAAGCACGTGGGTTGACGTGCCGCTTTCCAGCACGTGTTGCACTGTATTAAGTCGTGCCCCCTTCAGCATCGAGAGAGAAGGGAGAAAAAATTCTATATACAGGGTGTCCCAAACTAATCTCGGTCCCATGGTGTGCAAGTAGAACGGGGGGAAACTGAGTGGAAAAGCACCATTTTGCAAAATTCGCAATAGTCAGGAATTAACACGTTCGCTGTCACGTTTTCTCCCAAGCCACCGGACGCGCTCTCCGCTTTATTCACCAGCCAATGCTCCAAATTAACGTACTTATACTACGGACTAATTCGTGTTTGGCATAGAAGGTCGACAATCGGTATACGAGCATACTCGTAGTTGGCAGTGTTAACACATGTGAGTTATATTTAACTCACATGCCAGTTAATGTGTTAATTACTTCGTCCGAGCCACAGAACGTGTCGAGTTCTCGTTACATTCGTAGTTACAGAGCTGCAATTAACGCGTCGAGCGAGACATCTCTCTCACGAGGAAAGCGTTAACGCTCTGCTCGAGTCGTCCGATTTCATTTCTGAGAAAAAGGGAAAAATAAAACCGATATAAAATACATTTCCAGCACGCGTTCCGACATTCTCAATCGCGCCGTGTGAATTCACCGTAATTCATTATTCCTCGTCATATCACGCTGGATATTCTCGTTAAGATAAAATTGCCGAGCGAATATACTGAGTGGCCCCTTAGTGTGTAACTTAGACCGACTTCCTCCTCGCAGAAGAGCTATCTCGTTCGCGCAGGAAGTTACCCTAACTTATGTAGATCGGAGAATGATCGTCTTCACCTCTATAAATTGAAAAGGCCGGAAGCGATCGGGCATACTGATGGAAGCTAATATCTCTCTATCGGAAGAAACAACTACGCTCGTCGATCACGTGGTAAACACGTGATCTCGCGATCTACTCGAAATGGGAGCGTCGATATCGCGAGCGAAACTGAATTACACGTCCCGATGCATTGTCGCTGCACAAAATCTGAATTCATTTACCGAACCAGAAACTGAACAATAATTGGACAAAGAAACTATTCAATCGATTGATAAGCGAGTTTACTGCTCATAAAATGGTGAGCTTTTGTGCCAGTAATAATGGATATCGCGCTCATGCTTGCTTATTGTACAGTTTGAAAGTTGATAAAAGCCGTAGCACAGTCGTAGACATAAAACATTATCAGACTTTTTGCAATGAGTTTCAAAACATAACTGAATGATGCGATAAGGATCTTAATTATTAGAAATATAAGAAGTTAAAATTAATCAGAATTAATAAGATATGCGAAACGGAAAAATAAACAACAATCTGTCAGGTTGGGATATATTTATTGTTCAATATAAGCTCCCTTCACTTCGATACATTTTGATCAGCGCTTCTCGAGAGCAGTTACGTCAGTCTGATAGAACGATTCCTTCAAAATATCAATTCAATATCAACTCAAAATCCAAATATTTATTTCTCCTTCTTCGTCTGTCTTTCGGTGCCGAACAAAGAAAGAAAAGAAGCGGGAATTTAATAAAAGTATTTATTTACTCATTCGTACGTATTTGCAGTATATTTATATAATCCTGTTATAGTTACTAGGAAGATAAGAGGATGCGTTTCTCGATGAGACGTTGCGCAGTCGCTCGTTAGATATATTAATTCACATTCTGAACAGTTTCACATTTCTTTTGGCAATCTATTAAGTGCACGAAATTGTTTAAATTCGGTCGACAGCCACCGAATCTGAATTGTTCACACTTTTCAGTATGCCAATTAAATCCGTATCTTACTTCATTTCCATTGCAAAGGCCTATATCGAGCGGCACGTAGCAAACTGTAAAAAGAAATAAAACAACATCCAGTCACGCGTAATGAAATTCCTCCGTTACATACGTCCGATGTAATCTTTTGGATTGAATCTAACAAGATTTTTATCTGCCGTGCGTTGAGTTCGCGGCTTCCAGCAACAATTACAAGTACGTTTTGACGAAATTCGAATCCGTATAATTGTTACAGGGTGAGGTACTTAAAACAGGTTGCCTTGATAACTCTTTTATTTTTCGCGATAGAAGCAAATTTTTATTATTTTGATTGTAAGTCAAAGGGTAAAAGACATTTTAAGTTCACAGACTTTCCTTAAATTGAACGTTTCATATTTTCTTTTACCTTTTCACCTATTTTTCGATAGATCGTCTTAAAACACGCGTAATGATACGCGTGATGATATTAAGCGTGATAATGACGATTGAAGATTAATCACAGTCAGTTACGGAAACAGATTTGTTTAAAAAAAAAAAATAGAACAAACTTTGGTTTATCTTTCATATTAGCTGCTATTGCGGATGTTCAGATTATTTCGAGCATCAATACATATTCTAAAGCGATTCGGTATGGAAAGTACATTTCTCGTTCCGCTATTAATGAAATTCGAAATGTCGGATGTCATCCGTAAAACTAAACAAGTTTCGTCCCGAGTATTTGTTTCTGTTACCGGGAAATGGAAGAGTTATTAAGACAGCCTGTTTGAATTGCTTCACCCTGTACGATATGACAGGATGTGACGACTGGCATAATGAAAAATCGTTCTGCAATGCGTAAGGATATACTTACATAAGGGTCGTACATTCGCAGTTTTACACGTCAATATGCCGACGGCGATCAACGCAACAAGCAAACGCCCTTTAAGACCCATTTCCGTTCACGCTTGATATTTTACGTATTATTCCTTATTTTGCTTCTCTTCACTCGATATTTTCAACTTCGAGTATGATTCGGTCGCCGTGAAAATCGCAACCGAGTGCGCTTATCCATTCGTAGTGACTTCCGTTACGGGAAATCGCTGCTTTTTATACGAACTGCGCGCGCACGCAAAGCGGGGATTATCGTTCCAAATGACTTATAAATTCTAACCTTTGATTTATGCGCGCGAGAATATTCGCAAGTTTTGGTTCAAATAGATACGACAGTAATCTATGCAAATTTCAGCAATTTTGTGTCGCTTATCATTCGCACTACGCGCGAAGAAGAACGACAGCTTGTGTGAGAAATTTTGACGAAGTCATCGCACGCGTAAAAGAAGGAAAGAAAAAGAAGAGACAAAAGAAACGTGGGGTGAATTAGTTGAATGTACCGGAGTTCATCCGAAATGGAACCAGAAACGTCGCTCACACGGCTATACACGCACAAGGTCGAAAATTTCAGAAGTAACTCACAGAAGAAACAAATTTCGCTGAAACAGCTAATGTTCGATTACAGAACAGCAGAAAAAATTTGTTCAAACAGTAAAAAATTAGTTTGGACAGCAGAAAGATGTTAAGGGTATTAATTGCTGTCTGCCGAATATACAGACAATTTATACTCTTAACAAGTCTTCCTGCCGTCAAAAAAAAATCTTTTTGCTGTCTGAACACATTTTTTTCGTCTTTTCTTCGTCATTTTTCCGTCACTAAATTGACAAACATTCGCTGTTTTGGCAAAATTTCTCTCCTCCATGCTCACAGCATAAATATAATATAATACTAAATAAATACAATAATAAATAATATAAATAATAATAACAATAATAATAAATAATACAAATAAATATAATAATAAAACCGTGCGTGATCCAATATGTATTCTAAGATGTGAGACAGAAGATGTTTCACGGAGTAAAAAATCTAAAATCGCTCGCGAACGTTCGCGAATTAAATAACAACGTGGTTATTTCACGGGGGTGAAGAAAGAAGGGATGA